AATAAAAAATGAACAACAAGAGGCAGATTGCTCAGAAAATGTCAATCTTTTATTACAAAAATATTTCTCAGAACACAGGTGCTCCCCCACAGAGCTAAAACTAACACAGCTCCAAAAAAAAAAAAAAACAGAGATCTCAGAGATCTGTGAGAGATCTAGAGGCACACGCGGGGAGAAAAAAAAAACGAGATCTTTTGAAATTTTGGCCTTCATATTTTTGCTCTTTTGGTCTGTCAGATGTATTTCAGCATCTGGCTATCTTTAATAATGGTTTTATGTTTTGAGAAATGTGTATAACGGTGAAATTTCGAATTGTTCGCCAAACCCCTACTGCTGAGATATCCCCATAGTACAATGCAAGCAGGAGTGGGAAAGGAGGAGGCTCTGGGAGAAATGGTGAAGAGTCGGCTTTTGATCTGCGAAAGTAAAAGAAAGAAAAAGATTTGCCGTGTGAGTCTGCGCAGACGAGATGACTATAGTAAAATTTCCATTTGTGCATACTTCTACAATTTATATGTTCTAATAATTTTGTATGAGCTCAGTTTTGGCCAGAGGTACCTATTCATTTATTTTCTTTTTTTTTTTAATTTTATTTATAAACAAGTAAACTTTTTTTAAAAATTAACTAGGTATATTTGACTTATATACAGAAGCTATGTTACTTATATACTTGTTTGAAAAAGGGGTATTAGTGGAATTTATTTTATTTAATTTTACCCTAACATTACAAATATTGGTAGCAGAGCGTCTGACCATTCACTAGTCGGAGTGTTATGATTTACTGCCAATTATAAAATAATTAATTAACGATGGGAAAAAATAAAAAAAGTTACACACAAAGATCAACGATAAATACTCCGTCGCAAACAAAATTTATACAAGAATAAAAAGAAAAATGGACAGAAAAAATTATGCATAATTTGATAGAAATTATATTAAATAAATTGCAAATAACACGGGATAATGATATAATGAAAAAATAGATTTTTTTTTCAGTATATCATTTCAAACAAGAATTTAGTATGAAAGGTAATAAAGAATGATTCACATTTAATAGGGTCCACTTTGAGCTAATTAGATCATGAAGAATCAGGTTCACAATAGGTTTCCACAAGTTTAACTTCTGATACTGAATCCATAGATTTTAAAAATTAATCGAAATGCCATAAAAAATCAAAGTACATCTCTATACATTCGAACATAAATCTCAACACCTGCCTCATTTTCATTTGTACAACCTACGATCAATAATAAATTTTTTGTTAAAACTAGAGCCAATTGCAAGAAGAAATAAAACGCAATTTAAATCATATTGTCCATACTATTAGAGAGAGAAAATAACAAATTATCGGCTAATTTCATATGCCCTGATATACTTGAAATTTTGGACAACTATATTGTAAGATAGAACTTAAAAATCATACATGATGGGCCACGACCTCACACAATGCCAACAAATGTTCAACAAGTGGCAGATTGTCCATAAAACTCGCTCTTTTATTAAAATAAGAAATTGTCAAATCGATTTGTGTGTGTTGTACAACAGGGTTCTTCAAGAAAGATCAACCGATTCGCCCGATGGTTCAATCCAAAAGAATCACAGTTAGGCTTCCCTATACTTGAAATTTTGAACTTTTGGACAACTGTATTGTAAGATAGAACTTAAAAATCATACATGATGGGCCACGACCTCACACAATGCCAACAAAGGTTCAACAAGTGACAGTTTGCTCGTCAAACAAGCTTTTTTATTAAAACAATCGTTAGTAGAATAAGTGTGTTAAAATAAGAAATTGTCAAATCGGTTTGTGTGTGTTGTACAACAGGGTTTTTCACGAAATATCGACCGATGGTTCATTCCAAAAGGATCACAGTTAGGCTTCCCTATACTTGAAATGTTGAACTTTTGGACAACTGTATTGTAAGATAGAACTTAAAAATCATACGTGGTGTATCAAAATCTTTCACAATGCCAAGAAATGTTCAACAAGTGGCAGCTCGTCAAACAAGCTTTTTTATTAAAACAGTCGTTAGTAGAATCAGTGTTATAATCAGGATTGTAAATTCAGTGTATACAGGTTAAACCACGAGCGGGAGTTAAATGGCAATTAATAAACGATAAAAAGACAAAATTACCTTAAAAATAGGGTAAATAATAAACTTAATTCAACAAAACTTGCTAAAAGCCCAAAACCGAAGACCGTTGGCCAAAGACTGATTCAGTGATTCTGTTCCTGCTTGTTCTGGCGGGTTCCAGCTTGCAACCGATTGTGCCGTTCATTTTGATAAAACTCAATACAAACTCATTTTCTCCAGGATATACAAAACAATTTTTAAAAAAACCAATAACTGTTTTTGGCATAAAAACTCATTTTTTGGGTGGTTTTTTTAAGTTTGGGTGAAAGAATTTGAGGACAATAATCTCTTTCGACGGTCAAGGTAGTCATGATAATACCGAGTTATCATTTCAAATTATTTCTTTTATTCTAATATCCCCTGTGCTTTAAACAGCCATAGAATATAATTAAAAATGGCGGAAAATTAATGTAAAGGGGTATTTGGATAAAATTTCAAATTGGACTTACAATATCTCAAATGAAGTATGAAAAGCTCAAAGATTTGAAAGGCTTGCGCGGGTTCTCTCAACTCACTGTAAACGGGAACTTTTTTTAAAATATGTAATAAATACTTTTATTATACAACAACAAGAAATGCAACTTTGCAATGATAGAAAAACTGGAACAATGGTAAATAGCATGTGATGGTAAATATAAAAATCCGTTTGTTAAAAAAAAAAAAAATTAAAGGTAACTCGGGAAAGCTTTTCCTACTGTTATAACGTATGAACATAAACTCTGTCTTGTTTACTTTTATTTTCAACCCCAGTCTTTCGTTTAAATGGTCAATTAATGGAGATAAATAACGTTCCCCAATCCTCTGGTAAATGTTTTACATTTCAAAATTCAGTATGGAAGCTTTGTCGGTCAGTCTGCGATTTTTTTGCAATCTGTCGCCTTTAAAACGACCAAATCGGACCTGAACTACTGTAAACTAAAGGTTTTTCACTTTACGTTTACAGTTTGTTCATACTTCATAGTGGTGATGGCGAAGCATGCTGAACCAATCCACTTTTACGTATTTGGTGAACTACTCACATGTCAAGATGGAGCCAATAAGTGACCCAACCGGTTCAGCATGAGTTAACCAACTTACTTATTTATCAACAGCAGATGCATACAACCAGTGTAGTATATATACAGAAAAATACTATACTATATATATCTATATACTAAACAAATGCAATATATATACTAAACACATAACAAACCAAAAATTATTTTATAAATGGAACTATTTTCACTAATTAATGACTAGAGTTTTATACATCTTTCCTCAGGACATGAGCAGATGTATTAAGCAAATCAATATTCTCATATTCATTACCGGAAAATTACATACATTTTTGAAGGTTTTTGGACTTTTGATATTTTGTTAGGTTTAGAAAGTATTTGTACATATTGTTACCAATTTTTGACAAAATTGCTACACGAGATCAAGTTGAACTAGTTGGAATCCTCCATTCCCTAACTCGCAACTCCCTTCTTAACAGGTAGTTGAAACTCGAAAAACCAGTAAAAACACATACCTTTTCAAAGTCTTTGGAACTTTTGATATTTCGTTAGCTTAAGAAAGTATTTGTACATGTTGTTAACAATTTTTGACCCGATTAGTACAAGAGATAAAAATGGTAAAAATACATACTTTTTCATTGTATTTTGTTAGTGTTTTGTCTTATTTTCTTTATCGTGCCAACGTTTATTGAGATCATCTTCAGGGCCTGAGACATAACATTATAAACATTTTTTAAATTTTACAAATACATGTAGGATGTGGAAAAAAATGAATTTATACATTTCTAGAAAATTTTAGATTTTCAAAAAAATGTATTTATACAATGATAGAAAATTTTAGATTAAAAAAATGAATTTATACATTGCTCGAAAATTTTTGATAAAAAAATTGAATTTATACAATGCTCCAACCTCGTTGTCGCTCAGGCACAAAGGTGGGTGACTCTCCCTGATCCATCACGGAGAGGCTAGAGGCCTCCTAGGAGGTCTCGTAATTCTATTTCTACAATGCTGGAAAATTTTAGATACAATCAAAGTATTTGTACTCACTCAGTGTTTGTTTTCCGTGTAGGTGTGTCATTTTTGTCTTATGTGTTGAGAGTGCGAATGAGATATTGATGTTTTACGTTTATATACGTTGGATTTTGAAGGGGTGGGGCAGGAAGTCGGGAAAGAAAGACATTTTTATATGAGGAGTCGGCTTCTTTGAGGTGAAAGTTGCCGACAATAGGAAAAAATGGGGAATGGTTCGGCCTGATCATCTTTTCAAGATTATATAGACTGGGATAATTAGGGAAAGGAAAGCCAAATTGTTGAAGAATTAGACTATGTAGAAATGTTTGATGTGTGGAATGTGATGATTGTTTTATATGTTTTGTGTGATGTGATGATATATGCATATTATCGATATATATTCATTTTTTTTAATCTAAAAATTTCTAGCATTGTATATTCATTTTTTTTATCAACATTTTTTAGCATTGTATAAATTCTTTTTTTTTAATCTACAATTTCTAGCATTGTATAAATTCATTTTTTCACATCTTACGTGTATTTGTAAAATTTAAACAATGTTTATAAATCCCATGCCCTGAAGATGATCTCAATAAAGAGTGAAACATTGGCACAATAAATAAAATGTTTTTCTATAACCTACATCACACCTGACAACATCTCATAATCTCCGAATGATATTTTTTATATTTGTTAATTGTTTCTTTATTAGTCTCGACGAACAGAAGATATAATATGACATATTATACACATCACTATCTGTGGAAAGTGGCAAAAAGGGGCAAAACTTGGTATTGGTCTGATATCTGATTAGTCGTAATGTTTGGATATGAAATTTTGATGTAAAATAGATTATTTAATAAATTTATCATATGTTTGAGTAAATAATAATTCTTTTTTTAAATCATAAAAACACAAATTTGGCATAATTTATCAACGAAACAGCAGAATGTCACTTAGCAGGGAAGAAAAAACAAAGAAAACAAGTATACCCAAATATGCCACGTTCATAATTAGTGGTATCGCTGCGTATGTAAACAGATGTCTAATTTAATGTTATCAGTTTTCAAACATTGAAACATGTTTTTAGATCTGGAGCGGTAATATTCTGCCATCCGATAGACGTTATAAAAAACAGGATGCAGCTAAGTGGAGAGGGTGGTGCTAAAAAAGTACACAAAAGTTCATTTCATGCTGTCACAAATATAATAAGTAGGGATGGGCCTTTGGCCTTGTACGACGGGTTTTCAGCTAACATTGCAAGACAACTTTGTTACACTATGACCAGGCTCAGTGTCTTTCAGTTATTAATCGATAAATTTAAAACGTAATTTGTTTTCATTAGATTCTTCAAAATTTTACTGTCGTTAAAAAAAATATATATTTACAGTTCTGGATATGAGGGTTTAAAACCACAAATCGCTGCTAGTCTTACTGCTGGATTTGTTGCTTCATTAATTGCAACACCGACTGACGTAATATTAATATTATTTTGTGCAAATGTTTGCTTGCAACCTTATTAAAAGAAAATATTTCATGTAGGTCATTTTAGTCAGGATGACAGCAGACAGGCGTCTCGCACTAAATGAACAAAGGCAATATAAGCATGTCTTAGATGCCTTTTTAAGAATAAGGAAAGAAGAAGGTATTGTAAATTTATGGGCAGGTGTTATTCCCACTGTTCTGAGAGCGCTTGTTGGCAATGTAACACAGCTTGTTACTTATGTACAAGCCAAATCTTTTCTTTTGTCTAAAGGTATAACAAATAATTACTATTGAAAGCAAGGGCAACGTCAATTAGATAGGACACTATGAAAAACAATATATTTTACCTTTCTTTTTATCATGTTTGCAAAAAATAATTTTGATTTATACTGCATTTACACTTCTTTGTCATTCAGGCCTCTTTTAAAATGGGCAAATAAATGAAAATTATTGGCAATAACTCCAATAGGATATCAGCCTGTATATACCAACAGTGTTCACTTTTAAGTGCATGTAGAAACGGATAGAAAAGAGGTAAAAAAATTTCACAGTGTCCAGAATTTTCTTGTATTACAATTCTAAATATTAAATAGTACAAAACATGAAATACTCTTACTCCAAAACAAAATATTCAAAAATAATGGGTTAGTCATACAAAAGTCTGCATTTTTGGTCCTTACAAAAATGGGGTTATATTAAATTCAACAAAGGTTAATTTATTAGATCAATACCGGAGTAAGGTTTTTTTTTGAGCCCTCACACCATTTTAGATGCCCTTTTTTCATGTTTCATGCTATTCAGAAGCAAATAAACTGTATTTGTTTTTACATATTTGTAAATATTTGGAGGATTTTACATATAATTACACTTTTTATCTTAATTTACATTATAACGATATAATTACATTTTATTTTAAACAAATTAGTATTAATTCAAATCACAAGCAAGGATACATACTACTACTTATATACTTTGTACTGACTCCCTGAGTGCGTTGTGGGTTCTGAAGGGCAGATTCTCATTGGATCCTCTTGTGCTTTGTCAAAAGACCCGTTTAATTGCAGCATCTTAAAAACTGGCAGTAGTTGTCTGGGAACATGGATACATCAGGCTGGAAGGGAATGTCCATGCAGACAATGCAGTAAAATCCCACTCTCCAGACCTTTCAATTGCAATCCGCCTGCTGATGTTATATGATCCATAGGATATAGTAAAAAATGGTGGCAGTGCTACTGGGTCATCTGAGAAGCTCTTGAGTACTAAGAGTCCCCAGAAGGATTATCCTAACTGGCCATACGTAGTAGACACATGACACTTACTTTGTGCTTTCTGTGTATGTGTCCAGCATCCAGAGAAAAATTAGTGACCCAGTTAACTGAACAGTGCTTTTCCTTGGCTCCATATAGAGAACAGGTAGGAATGCAACTCAATATGAGAATTGTGCTTGAGAACTTTGAGTCCCCTAATCTAATTTTTGTATGAAATATAGGTACTTCTGTATATATATAGATTTTTTATTGCAGTTAACCTTATTGTATTTATAACAAATTAGATGATAAGATGTTCTCTGTTATTGTATTTATAACAAATTAGATGATAAAATGTTCTCTGGGATTACTGTTTTGTGAGAAAATATTTATAAGCATGAATGTGTGTGGGCAGAATATCCAGTTCTTTATTGACCCAAAATTAGAATAGTGTGTTATTTATGGTAATATCAAGTACACAACACACTACTTGAGTAAATGTTATGTACAAAAGAAAGAATGTATTTCAGAATCAGTGATTTTAGGGTAAAACGGGTAATGCAGGGAGATGAAAATCCTTGTTGAAAAACCCTCTAAGTCAAACTTTGGTGGTTATTAAGGGCAAAGTCTGACCCAAACTACCAAAACAATAACAAGCAAGATCCAATAATTATAAAATTATTTAAATTAAGAGCTGTATGATTTTTTCAGAATATATGAAAGATGGTATAGGAGTTCACTTTCTTGCGAGTTTAGCCTCAGGCCTGATTTACGCATTTTCTACAACTCCAATAGACGTTGCTAAAACAAGGTGACCCCACCGTCCCCCACCCAAAAAAATTGATAATAACATTCAATTCTCAGATTGCAAATGATGAAAAGAACTTCTGGAGTGCCAGCGTACAAGGGCCTAGCAGATGTATGGACAAAGACGATTAAAAACGAAGGAGTGACAGCCCTATGGAAGGGTTTCATTCCATACTACCTCAAAATAGCTCCAAACACAGTACTGCTCTTCATATTTGTCGAGCAGTTAAATCGTATGTACAAAGTGTATGTAATGAAAGATTCAAATGCAAAAGGATTGTGATGTTGATACTAAGAAATTAAGCAAAATACAAAATACAGAAACACCTTCTTCCATGGCATTCAATTTTTTTATTGTCTTAAGTATGTAGTATGTAAAAATGACAAAAATTTTCAAAATTATTTTTTGTTAATTATGTACATGCCAATTGTTTTTGAACTAGTTAATAACAGTCAAAATGAGAAAATGTCGAACACCGTAAACTCTCGATCAAGATCAACACATCGCAAATTTCACCATGTTTCACAATATGTGTTTTAATGTTTAATGTTAATAAAATAAGTATTGGGTTGGAAAAGAGTCCATAGTGTTTTTCAATATTTCAATTTTATCATTAGTGTTTATGAAGCAATGTTTATTTATGTTGAACCGGCACATGGGCACTACTGGGTCTGTCTTCACTCGCGGGTTTTTTGTTTGAGTTATTCAAATGCGTTTCGGCATTACGCCATCTTCAGTGAAAAACTTTAAACTTCAGTTTTTCACTGAAGATGGTGTAATGCCGAAACGCGTTTGAATAACTCAAACAAAAAACTCGCGAGTGAAGACAGACCCAGTAGTGCCCGTGTGCCGGTTCAACATGAGTTCGCCAACTCACAGACCAAACCCCATCATCTACTATAATGTTTATTTAGTCATTATTGTTTACACTCTACAGAAATTAAGGTGTTTTTATTCTTTTGTTGTTGTTGTTTCATTTGAGATCATTTTGCTAATTTAAAATGGAGGAAACAATAGTGCATTTTCAACATTTAATGATTTTTATTACCAGATTGCTAAGAAAATTTGTGATGTTCATGGTAATTAAGCTTCAGGAGAAATCACTGCAATTAAAGTCAGCAATTGACCAAAAACAATCAGCATTTTCCACCAGGATAATGTTCATCTGATATTGCCCGTTTTTCCTTATTCCGGACTATGAAAAACTCCAGAGAAAACTTTCCTTTCCTTGAGGACTGTAAAAACACTTCCAGGAGTTTATCTCCCAACATCCTGAGAAGTTCTGGGAGGACAGATTTACAAAATTACAATATCACAACAGGCACTGGAACAAAATGGTTCACATATTTATTAATTTATTTTTTACAATTACCTAAAATTTTCATTAAATTTGCCATCAAAAAATACTACAGACTTATTTAACAACTTGATGTCATTTTTTTTAGACTAATTATTAAATGAAAATTAGGTGGAAATTTATACTAGGTGTACTATTAAATTTTTTATTGCAATTTTTTCATATCATCATAATATTCCTCCAAGTGGTTTACAATGAAAGAACTAACTTTAAGCAGTCTTATTATTAAAGTCTCAGAGAAAATACGTACTTAAAAAAAAGCTCCCACACTTACGCACAAAAAGCAATCACTGCATTGGAAATGAACATATTTAGGATAAAAAACTACATTAAACTAGGATAGCTGAAAAATAATGACCAGAATCACAATGCTTACTCTAGAAACTATAATAATTATGATTCCTAACAAGTGCAACAACACAAATAACTGCAATATCATTGTACTATTTGTTTGTCTTTAGAACAGAAAAAAATGATTGTTTTATTCAATATGTATTTACAGAAAACTTAATCAAAAATAAAATATATTACAAAATATCAATGAAAACATATTTTTCAAAAAGAGCAAAAATTAAGAAAAACAAAAGATGTCATGTAATACATTATCAATTTAAAACGTGGAGATTATATACTCAACTAATTATTCATACTGATAAACTGACATGAAACAAAATCAGAGCGCTAATTTAAACAAACATTTAAAACCAAATGATATTTACAATAAATTACAGTAATAAATTATTTGGTAAGAACAAAAAGAAAATTAGAATATTTCCATCTGTTTTTTGTCATTTACTGTAAAAATTAATTATATAGAATTATACAATATTAAATTTTTTAAGTAATTAAACATTAGGAAAACAAAAGAAAACTGGATATCACATTTGCATTTCAAAATTTTTATAATTTCTTTAACAAATATATCTTTTTACAAACTATGTACAGTAACAAAAGGCCAATTGTGTTGACTTCTTTTCATAGCATTCAATCTTAAATGTTCCAAATGACTAATTTTACACACAAGAAAAAAATGTATGCTTCGATTGACCCTGATTCGATGAAAAAGTCACATGCCTTCATATACTTAACCTCTCATATAAATGTCCTATCTAACAAACAAAATTTCAAGCTTTGTTCGGGATAACCCTGAAAAATAAATAAAAACATGTAATAATTAGCATTTAAAGATGGTTGATTTTTCTACTCATACCTAGGTTCTTCATAAAAATGACTATTAGAATTAAAGTAACTTGTCAGAATATATACAACAGCTTCATAAGTTGACATCATTATGGCCGTGTTTGGAATCTGCCGAACGAGCTGTGTCGCCAGGCCTCGGTACACACCCCTGTATCCTTCTTCTTTATACACCAGGCCTAAAGTCTGCCAAAACTTGTTGTACTTGTTTCCTTCTTCCCTCAAACGAGTTCTTGCGACTTCTGTTAGCCATTTTTTTGTTTAATTAATGTAAATATTAATTTAGAAAACCATAAAAATGAGACATACCATGAGGGTAAGCAATACATGAAGCCACTGTTTTGGAACATGCACCTGCCATCATGAACTCGACGAAGTCCCTTGAAGTCTTTTCCTCTCCTTTAATCTCGCTCCTGTCCACCCTCATTTCAGTAAGTTTAGCTTTTATCGCTTCATATATGACAAAATGAATTACAGTTTCAGATATACCCCAATAAGACGCTGTAATTCCCTTATAGAAACCAAGAAATCCCTGAAAATTTGCCTTATTATAGTAAAAACCACTTTATGAAAAAATTAATTTTCTACTTCTAAGGTTATTTAAAATTATCCTAATAATCATTAATTTAACAAAAGAAAAATTTCTTTGTTCCATTATTAAATTTTTTTTTATAAAACAATTCTCCAATTTTATTTAAGGAGATTTTCATTTACGTCTCCTATATTTTATAAACAAACTGTACAAAGATATGTAGAACAAACGTACAGATTGACGGTATATCCTTTTTATGCACTGCAGTGCTGTAAGGCGCTGTCCACTAGAAGCATAGTCGAGTTGTAGTCTAGTTTTAATGAACCAAATAGGATTAGTGGCTGAGCAAGCAACAAAACCTAAAAGAAAGTACTTTTATTAGGAATGATTTCAACTAATTTCTTCTTATCAATAATGCTTGCTCCTTAATAATGCCACATAACTATGACAATAATCAACAGTAATATATTATATATATTTAAACCGGACATTTTCAAATTGCAAAAAGAAATGTTTCACAATTTTTTCCAAAATAATTTATGAAAACTTTGTAAAAGAAGAAAACTCACTATTATCTTTTTATCGCAGCGATTAAATCTGCGTAGTTTGTATCATCCTTTTTATATCCAATCAGACAAAAAAATATATATATAATTTTTAAAAAAATTAAATTATTTGAACATGAATATATAAACGTAGAGTTATTGTGGCGTTTATTTTTACCTACATAATTATAATTTTAAAATCATGCTCCAGCTGTTATTTAATATTGTGTTTTTTATAAGTTGCTATTGCAAAAGAAAATATATATTTTTTATGTTAATGATTACAAATTTGAGAATTTTTATCATTAAGAAAAAATGCAAATTTTACATTTCAGATTTAAAAGAAACCTTAAGCATCGTAGAAAACAAATCAAATCCACAATTCCAAAAACTACCCGACCATGTACTGCAACTATTTTATGACTCCCAATTTGACCTTCAGATAATGAGGATTGTTTAACAGGATTAAAAAACAGTAAATAAATGTTAAATAACAATTATTTTATTAAAAATGAGAAATATCATTTACAGGTATTACATGGTTAGTTCATTAACTTTGTAATTAAGATATGTGAATTTACAAGTATTCAGAAGAAGAGGTTAAAAAACTAAAGTAATAACTACCATGGCCATGGATGAGTGTTTTGTAATCTCCACCCATTAAAAATGGTCATAATACTTTACAACTAAAAGATTATAAACAATTTTTAAAAAATGATTTTTATAACCTATACAACATATTAGTATTAATTACAAATGTGATCACAAAACTTTGACCATCCCTAATGTCTAAACTAAACGTTCATCACCCTGCAAAACTCAAAAAGACCTCTCACACATATACATAAGTGAAGTAAATAAGTTTAGTTTGAAATAAAAAGAAGTAAGTTTATATCTCAATTAATTATACACAATTCTTTTTTCAAAATGAAACTGAGTCACAGGCGGGATTTGTAACCACAACACCTTCAGCTTAATACACTGCTGCTCTGACCACTTGAGCTACTGTGAATCACCCATACCACAAACTTATCATTTTGACTCCCTGTTTATTCCAATTGTAAGCAAATCGCAAATCACATTTTATTAACTGTTATGGCTAATACCAACTTTTATTATTTTTTATCAAATTATTCCTAATTATTCATATACTTATTTCATTGTGGGTTCAAATCCCACCTGACCAATTTTTCATTTAGAAAAAATTGTGTATAATTAATTGATAAAAAAAATAAAATGTGAAAATAAGTTATGTTTAAAAGCATTTTTTGTTTTCTGGTAAGAGATTTGAGTTTAGTTTTGGTTATTTTATCTTGTTTAGTGAAATGAGATTTTTTTTTTTTTTAATATATACGATGCCTGTTCTATTTTGATCATGTTTTGCCAAGTTGTAATCTGGTATGTGGCCGTTAAACCCAGAATGCTCCGGGGGAAGTGTGTATGAGCTGGCATATGCCACACCTTTATTGACAGGCCTGCCCTATTTTTATTTATTTATTTCATTGTTATTATTAATATTATTTGTGTGTGTGTGTGTGTGTGTGTGTGTGTGTGTGCGCGTGCGTGTGTGTGGAGAATCGAGTATTAAAATCAAAAACAACATTAACAGTATTGCTTTATTTTTAAATTTGTTTTGAATATTGTAATAAGGCTTTCAGGTGAACAACCTCAGATGTGTATTGTGGACGACAACCGGTTTTACACTACCGTGCCATTTATTTTAAGAAAGACAGGTTTCAGGTCCATAAATATGACTTTAAGTGTAATCTGAAAGATACTCCTCACGCTTAAACCCTTTAAGTTCCCTATTAGAAAAGGCTTGAGATGAAAAACCACCGAGAACACGAGAAATTTAAAAGGAAAGGGATAAACACAAGTTTTTTACATTTTGTCTGAGTATTTCCGAAGTGGGTCAAGGAGTGAGTCCGGTTCCAGGTACTTATGCGTCTAATTGGAAATGAGGATCTTTTCGGCCCTGTTAGATTTAGTAGCTTTGAGACCCTCGTTTTCAGCTTAATTAAGCGAAATGTAGAACGTTTCTAACGAATATTGTGTTGTTTATCTTTTCCTTAAACAACGTAAATTAACGACAATCCGGTCGAAAAATGTGAAGTTAGGAAATCCAGACCCTGTAAAATACGTTCATGTTATATTGTTCAGCAAATGCATTCATCAGCACGCGATCTCAAAAGAAAATTTTCGAAATTTAAAAAAATCGATTAAGGTAAACATTTTTCTTTTGACACAAATCCCCTGAAGCCTAAGACTTCCAACCATTATATATTTGTAGTTTGGTCATTTCCTATTAATCCTGGTCAGCTTCCCTCTTTTTGGATGTCTGTTTCTGTAAACTTTTTTTTTACGTTTATACCCACTGATGAATACGGCGAAATGCCAAAACCCACCTGACAAGACCAAAACTAGCGTGGATAGACAGACCGAGATGATATGAAACGACCATCGACTCACATTACATATTCGATAATCTCTTAAGATTTCAATTAATTAATTTTTTTCTAAGGTCTGGTTGAGATGAAAAAGTTAGTCCACTAGCGGGATTCGAACCCACGACCTTCGGCTCATTACGCCGCTGCTCTAACCACTTGAGCAATCGTAACTATAGATCTGTACTGAATTTGACCTAGGGAAATGGGCGTAAGTGTAACAGCGATAATGGACGGACCCAATTTTCTCACGCTTATGATTATGACATTCAACTCCAATGCCATTTAGTAAACTCTATATTTGTTAGGTTTTGGCAATTGTTTTAGTTTTAGTGAAGTGGTTAAGGCAGCGGCTTATTGAGCCCGAAGGATGTAGCTTCGCTCGTGACACAGCTTTTTCATCTCGACCAAAACCTTAGATAAGAAGTAAAATTAATATAATTATTTACAGATCATGAGATGCGGTCGTGTAGTAGAAAAACATTTTCTTTAACATGCCATATATGGATTAATCAATCAAAATTTTAAAGTGTTTTCTTTTAGAAAACTAGTCCATTTCGCTAGGTCTAACTCAGTACAGATCTATAAAAACATGGGGAAGGAGTAATTCTCTGCAAATAAATGCTAACGGAGAGGCAAGGACATGGGATGACCGTTTTTAATGGTACTTTTTTTTTGGTGGTATTAGGTAGAAAAATATTAGCCCCGTGCCCAAGCTTTCCTGCCTCAGCGTTAAGGTGCACCTGTGGATAATATACAATAAAAGTAATCGTCATTTTTGTGATTTACTAACAAGTTGAATTTGATTTTTTGTAGCCCTATGAGTATAGAGGCCTATAATTTTTTTTTCAAATCTTGTATGTTGAGACAGGGGAATTCCTTCGCCTTCCATTTTTAGAGATTGAGAATTGCCTTATCTTAGTGGTAATTCATTAAACCTGGGTAATGCTTGTGCCGATGTCTCTGGTTCCTCCTGACCACGAGACAGAGTAGACATGTTTCTGTTTTTTGTCTACACATCTTCTTTAGATGTAAGTTAAGAGAGTTTTCTCAAATCCTATCTACTGAAAGAGAAAAATTCCTTCGCCTTCCTTTCTGAGAGATTTATTTATCTCTTAGCTTGCATCATATATGGTGCTTTTGTCCAGTTTTAGTACTTTCTCAAGCCATTTTTACAATTCCAACTTTAGTACTCATTCCGGTGCAACCAGTATTGGTTCTGGTCCCAAGGTGAGAGGGCTTCACTTTTTTTTTGGCTAGTTGGTCAGTCTGTTCATTTCCTTCTATACCTTCATGTCCGGGAACTCACTTTAAAGTAATCTTGTTTTGTTTTCCCAGGCAATTTAGGCTATCCAGACTTTTTGGAGTAAAAAGTATGGATAGCCTAAATTGCCTGGAAAAACAAAACAAGATTACTTTAAAGTGAGCCATAAAGGGCTGCCTGAGAGTATGTAAATATGTCCACCTTTCGTTTTTTCTTCTTTTTCTTGCCCCCCTTATCAACCACTGAGCATTGAATTGTTTGTATTGCACTGATTGCAGTTTGAAAATTTGTTGGGGTGTGTAGTTCGGCCCTTTTATTTCTACACGTACACCTGTTTTAGCTTTGGGCCATATATGTAACCCATTACCCTTCCTGAACTTGGAGCCACCTTTCTTCCAAAGGTCTCTTGATCTATGTTCACTTTTTTTTTAAATTGGTCAGGTACCGTTAAAATCAACCAATTTATTTTAATTATTTACTTTTTCATTTTCCAGAATTTTGTGGTAGTTCCTCATTAGATCTCGTTTTATTTCCTCGTGTCACAGAAGTCTATTGACACTCCCAAAAGCCACCTTTTGTACATAAATATGTGAAGGTAAGAAGGTCGAGAGCGGATTCCAATTTCTATTATTGTAGTGAGGCAGGAATGCATTTGCCCCTTTTATAATCAAACAAGCTTTCTTTTAAGATAGAACTCAATGCATTTGATCTCGCATGTTCTACTTTTATGGGTTTTTTTATTTTGTTTTTTAATGCATTTACTATAATCAAGTCGCGCCATCGTTAGTGGTCTCTCTCTCTCCTCTCTCTCTCTCTCTCTCTCCGTATCACACACTCTCTCTCTCTCTCTTTCCGTATCACACACACACACTCTCTCTCTCTCTCTCTCTCTCTATATATATATATATATATATATACTCTCTCTCTCTCTCTCTCTCTCTCTCTCTCTCTCTTTCCGTATCACTCTCTCTCTCTTTCTGAATCTCTCTCTCTCTCTCTCTCTCTGAACTTGGTTTAAATTAGGAACTAGGTTCACTGAACCCAATTTAAACCTGGTGCAAGGGGCCCTTAAGGTTCAAGAAACCAACAGCCTCGCTCCCATTCTA